TTTTCCTTATGTGTGTTATAAGAAATCTTGAATGGCACATATTCAGCATGTAGGGAGTTGAGTATAAATTGGACAAGGAATGTCTCTGAAAAAGTGAACTCCAATGAGTTCATTTGGGCAGTTATATCTCTCATTTCCATAATATGTTCATGGACCACTTTATTACCCATATGCTTCATTGATGATAATTTGGTCATTAGGGTGCTAGCCAATGCTTTATCGGAACTTACAAATTGTTGTTCAATTGCTGCCATGTATTCTTTTACCTTAGTACATTCAGAAATTGAACTCCTTATGTTTTTCCCAACATGACTTTTAATGAAACACATACTTAAGCAATTTGATCGTTCCCACCTCTCATAAGAAGCCTTTTCACTGGCGTACTTGATTCCGTGGGGATGGGTGGTTCATCCACACGAAGTGCCAAATCAATGTCCATGCACCCCAATGTTAGAAGGATTTTTTCCTTCCAATCCGAATAATTATCACCAGTTAAAAATGGAATATGAGATGAACCAATATTGACAGAACCAGATGAAATTACTGCAAAAAGAAAACATGCCAAATATTACTCTACTATACAATAAACTTTATTGAAATTCTTAACCCACGTTAAAAAATTTCATATCAAAAACAATGTGTCATTATAACCTTCCTGTGGGTAAAGGTTTTAATACAATAATGTTTTTAAAAATATAACCATAATGGAATAAATATGGATATTAAACTGATAATGATACAGTCCTGTGGGCATTTGTATTCATTGTCAGTTTAATTCCAAAATCATTTTTATTCACATTCATTCATAAACAATGATTATTTCCCTATGGGGCAGAATAAAACACTTTTTATGAATGAATTATAACCTTTTTTAATGCATAATCTTTATGTGATATAAATATCATATATTAAAACTTTTTTATTTTATTTTTATTTTATATCACAAAACCAACAACTAAAGATGTTGTGGCTACTCTCTAGTTAAAAATACACATTAAAATAGTAGTAATACTCATACTTTAATAAACTGCATGTATGAGAATATATTGGACATGAATTTTTTTAATATGCAATCACTGTACAACTCTAGAGTATTCTTCATTTGTATAGAAATTTCCAAAACTATACAATTCCAAAGTATTCTGCATAAATAAAAACTCATTCTAAAACAATTCTTTATGGTTTTATGATGAGATTCACCCTTTTTTAAAACAGTCGTGAAACCGCTCGGGTCTGAATTACTTTTACCATCAAAAAAGCCAACGTTGTTCCCACTGTATAAATTCACGATGACATTCTCCCATATTTAAAGCAGTCGTTAAACCGCTCAGGTCTGAACACTTTATTCATCGCAATCCTTATGGTATAGTATTCTACCACTTCATTTCGGCCAACGTAACCAAAACGATAAAACAGTACCAGAAAAATATTACAGACAGAAACACACCCACCAAAAATAATGCAGAACAAATAGAACATAAAGGAAATATTACAGGCCAAAAAGACAACGACGACATAGCTGCTAAACAAATATTATAGGCCAGAAAAAGAACGGCAACACAATCGCTGAATAAATATTACAGACATACAAACCAAAGGATAACATAGCCAAAAGGTATCGCTCTGATACCAAATGAAAAAAACTATCAAGTCCAAAGAGATCGCATTACCTCTAGCCATGAAATCAGTTTGGTTAATGCCTGCAAAACAAATTTGGAAATCCTAATGATGTTCACGCCTATACAAGTCTTGATGCGTGTACTTGATGGAGACAACATAGACTGTACTTGTTAGACATGGGACCTCTGTAGGATTCTATAAAAAATAAAATCGAGAAACAAGTAATCCATCATACAAGCCCTCTTTTCTATTTTGATTCAAAACGGCAGTTATTATAAAACCACCGTAACTTCCCAAAAACCACGTAGTCATAACTTTCGAGTAACGTTGTGTTAGTGTAAGTGGTTATAATAGTATGAGAATATAGGCCACACCACGTTTAATGAATAAACATGTCCAAAAGTCGGGTCCGCCGCTAGGGCCCCAGTCGAGGGCCCTCTCAATGCACCACCAGTACTCCTGGAGGGTCTCGCCCTTCCAGGCGAAAACGGTTGCGGAGTCGAGAGAAATGGCGGTGGCGGCGTGGTCTTGGGTGGAAAAGATGTTGCGGGAGCACCACCGGACTGCGGCGCCAAGGGTGGTGAAGGTTTCGATGAGGACGGCAGTCTGGATGGTCATGTGGAGAGACCTGGTGATTCGGGCGCCCTTTAAGGGTTGTGTCGGGCCGAACTCGGATCGTCAGACTATGAGACCCGGCATCTCAACTTCGGCCAGCTCGATCTTGAGTCGGCCGAAGTCGGCCTGAGACATGTCTTTGACCTTGTATTCTCGGCCTGATGATGTTTTCTCTACCAGGAGAGCCATTGCTAGGGTTTAGGGCTTTGAGAGAGAGAGAGAGAGTGAATGAGTGAAGAGTAGAGAAAGTGATGAAGTCAAGGAAGTGGATAATGGACAACAAATTAGTTATTGGATCCTATATTTTGACTTGGCTTAATTGAACTATTTATTGTCAAAAACTTATGTGCATTAAGAATGGAATGGAATGTAAATGGGAATGGAATGAAGTGGTCATTCTATTTCAATTATTTGGTTGTAAATATGAAATACGTAGGAATGGAATGATAATAACCATTCTAGTGTTTGGTTGGACTAATTTTTAATTTAGAATGGAATAAATTTCAAATTGAGTTCTCCAAAATATCCCCGTTAGTAAAAAATAAATTAAATCAACAAAATAACATTATTCTATAATTTTTTAAAAATAAATGGTGGTAATGGCGGTGGTGGAGGTGGAAAGCGGTAGTGGTGTAGGTGGTGGTGTTGGAAGGTGGCAGAGGTGGCAATGGTAGAAGATGGTGGCAAGAGTGTTGGTGGTGGTGGAAGGAGATAATGGTGTAAGTGGCGGTAGTGGAAGCCAATGGAGGTGACTGTAGTTGTGGTGGAAGGCAGTGAAGGCGGCGATGGTGGAAGGTGGTGGCGGTGGTGGAAAGCGGTAGCGGTGGTGATGATGGAAGGTGGTGGAAGGCGATGGTGGTGGTGGTGGTGGTGGAAGGCGGTGGCGGTGATGGTGGTGAAAGGCGATGGTGGTGGTGAAAGGCGATGGTAGTAGAAGGTGATGGAAGGCAATGACGATGGTGGTGATGGTAAAAGGTAGTGGCGGCGGCAATGGTGGTGCAAGACGGTGGCGATGGTGGTGGTGGTGAAAAGGAGTAGTGGTGGTGAAAGGGAGTGGCGGCAATGGTGGTGGAAGGCGGTGGCTGTGGTGAAAGGTGGTGGCGGTAGCGGTGGTGGAAGGTGGTGAAAAGCGGTGGCGGAGTGGTAATAAAAGGCGGTGGCGACGATGGTGGTAGAAGGCGGTGGAAGGTGATGGCGGCGGTGGAAGGTGGTGGCGGAAGGCGGTGGTGGTAGAAGGCGGCGGTGTAAGACGGTGGCGGTGGTGGTAGTGGTGGTGGAAAGCAGTGGCGGTGGTGGAAGGGGGTGAAAGGTGATGGCGGTAGTGGTGGTGGTGGTGGCGGTAGCGGTGGTGAAAGACGGTGGCGGTGGCGATGATTGGGGCAAAGGAAGACTGTGGTGGAAAGCAGTGGTGGAAGGCGGTGGTAGTGTCGATGGTGGTGAAAGGTGGAGGTAGTTGTAGTGGAAGATAGTGAGGATTTTTGGAATTGGAATATGAGGGTTTTTAGGAAGTTAATTTTTCTAAAAAATGTACGTGTGAATAGAAAGGTCATTCTATAAGTTTAATTGTGGAATAGATTTTCATTCCAATGAAATAGTCATTCCCAAACGCAGCATAAGTATTTGTTTAGTCAGTGTTCTTGTTTTCCTTGCATCTAAATCGATTTTTGGTTTGGCAGCCATAGTTCTTTTGTGCTTTTACTTTGATTTGAAGCAAAAGTAATATTTCTATTTTAAAATGTGTTCAACACTATTTCAAAACTTGTTTGGCAACGTAAATTTGTTACTAGATTTTTAGAAGCAAAAATGAAAAGCATGTGTTGGTAAAAAATGTAGCAAGTTTGAAAATTTGAATGGCTAGTTAAAAATGTTATTTTAGATTTTTTTTTTTTTTTTTTTTTTTTTTTTGAACAATACTTTGCTACATTGCAAAAGCAAACAAAAACATTATTTTGATGTTTATGATTTTGACCTTAATTTTAGAAGCACTTCGGTATTATTTAAATGACAACAAACATTACTAAACATATTTCGTGTTTTTGCTTCCCATACATTATAGTAGCAAAAGCAAAAAACACTAAACAAAAACATTAGCCAAACAGGCAATTAAATATATAAAATGCTAGCCCACTAAATTTATAAAATATTACTTTGTGTCCATTTAAAATTTATTTTTCTTTCTAAAACACTCCTGGACTTAGATTTTTTATTTATACATATAAAGTATATAATTTGTTAAATATATAAAATGCTAGCCCACTAAATTAATAAAATATTACTTTGTGTCCATTTAAAATTTATTTTTCTTTCTAAAACACTCCTGGACTTAGATTTTTTATTTATACATATAAAGTATATAATTTGTAAATTATTACTTAGTTAAATTCCGATTCCGTCCTTTATCCCAACCTAGGTCGCAAACCCCAGAAGCATTTATCACATGTTGTATGCTATATATAGGAGAAGTCCGTCATCCACTTTTCTTAATCGCAATGAACCACCACAAAGTATTCGAGGTGCGCCATCATCTAATAATTTCTCCTTCTACGTAGCCATGTTTTATATGTTTCATAATAATGACTTCTATAGGGTGTTTGGAATGGTACAGCCTGAATTACATTATTGTCAAATTGATATTACATCTCCATCTTTAATTAGTTCTGAATATGTCTTCCAATTTTATGTCATGAAATTTTGCTTGCAAAGAAAAAAGAGTCACCAGCCTGTGGTTCTTTTGTGCTCACAAAAGATGATTTCATTCTCTCTCAACATTTAAATTCTCCATTTATCTATACAAGTAATATGAAAAACAATATCATTCTGTTTCCAAAAGCACCCCAAATTCAGCTGCACAAAAACATATTACAATGCCAAATTATGATGACACCGGCAGAACATGTGATTACGAGGTCTACGGCTACATTACTTGCAGAATGCACGAGGCATGAATTTCTTTAACGTGTCCTTGCAATCACCGGAGAATTTTGCCATCCAAAATATACTGCCGAACTACTAACCAGCTGTGCAAGGTAGAACCCACTCGAACAAAAGTGCTCTTTGTGATCGATGCCTCAGCTGCCAAGCCTGCAAGTTCAATGCACTATTTACATACTCTTCGAAAATTTTAATTTTCAGATGAAGCTAAATATATAGGGTGTTCCAACAAGCAATGTTGGATCGATCATCAATCATTTATACGTAATATTCACTTCTAGATCATTGTTTGGATTAAGGATTTAACATTAGAAGGATGAAATAATTCATAAACAAGCAAGAACTCTATCTAGGGTTAATTAAAAAGCAATTTTAGACACAAACTGCAGTCTGCTATTGATTGTTTTAGTTGTAGATTGCAGCTTCCTATTTAATTCCACACCTAACCACTACATAGTTCTTCTAAGAGAATGGTGACATGATCCATGATGCAGTCCGAATAATAGACATACAATTAGAATATAACATACCAGCCTCTAGGACTTCCGAGTTTAAACTTACAACAACGGAGATACATGCACATAGTTGCAGTATACTTACCTTCCTAAAGGGAAACGTGAGGGTTCTTGAACAATGAAACTTTGAGTCCTCCCTTGGTCTGCCCACAAGTACACAAAGAAAAGCAAAAGAATAACATTCAATAGTTATCATCGGACTCTACAAAGCACAAGACAGCATAACTTTTATGGCTTAAGAAAAACCTTTCCGTAATAGTGTAACACTTTATTCAGTTTCAGAAGGCTCAACGCCGGCACTGATATTAGGGACGGGCTCAGGGTGTACACAACAATAAAGTCTCAGGGAATAGCAAGTTGGCGAGTGCACACACAAAAACGAATGCAGAATTTTGCATTTCCTATTTACTGCTACCCATATATCACTAGACTTCATGGTCCCAGCAGGAAAATATACCAATTTATGACTGATAATTATTACTTATGCAGTTTGAAATTCTGCAAGACAGCATCTCCATTTTTATTGGTGAAAGCCATATGAATTGAACATGCAATTCCTATTATGAAACGATAAAAATTGAAGCCTTAAGTGAATATCAGTTGAATATGCTCATGGTGCCACAAAAGACGAATAGATATAACAGAGACAGGTCAGGAGAGACTGTAAGTTAACCCTCAAGATTAGTTTATACCATACCACATTGTGGATGCAAGCAGCAGCGTATACTCCAAAGTCAATATATTAATTGTGCCTATCCTATGCAGCCAACACACTAGAAGGATAATGAAGGCCTTAACCATAAATCCCTTGGATGACCAGAGGGCAAATTTGCATAAATGTAACATTCATCAGTGTTCGCTTCATGGAACCACCGTTCATCATCCAAAATAAATCAAACCGACATAATATAACACCTTTATAGTTCTACCCTTTTGAGATCCCAACCATTAATTCATAATAGAACTAAAAGCAAATAGTCAAAATTAGGACATCTGTGCTGCCCCACTAAAGATACTTGTGACTGGCAACACAGCACATATTGATGAGATTTAGCCTACGAGCTAAGGGCCCCACATTGATGGTGGGGAGTACCCATGTGTAAGTCCAAAGTATTTTTGCCTCTATTGCTTCCATAGGTCACTTCTACACCATCGGGCCTGGGTCACTTTTCTTAATGAAGTCTACATCTTTCAAGTCATGCTATGTAACATTCACAAAATAAAGGAACTAATAAAGAAAAAGAAGACCACAGAACTACTTACCCAACAACATCCCTGGAGCAGTTATTGTAATTGTTAGAGCTGTTGGAGAAAATATAAGGATTTGCGGCTTGAAAATATGGTTCAGAAGATTCTCTGGGAATAGACAACAGAAGCTTGTTTTGTGGCTGGACTCTCAAGCGGACCATCTGTGAAGTGTCTGATGAAAGAAACTTTTTATGAAGCTTCAAGGTTCTAAAGAAACAGCTTGGCTGCTTCTCTGGCTCCTGAGCGGATATAGCCTGGCAACCACAGTTACTTCCCTCTTCTTTGGAAGAATCAACTCCGGACCCATGCTTTGGAAAATCATCTGGTAGTAATTTTTGGGGCGTAATCTTTCTAATGCTTAGTGCATTTCCTTCACTATTTCTTATAGTCTTAGCCGCTTCTTTTCTGTGAGAGCAATTATGTGAGATTTGAGACCCACAATCAGAAGAGCAGGTTTGAACAGATCTGTCCCTTATCATGGCTTTTTCAGAGGTTAAATCAGAGTTATCCGATGGGTCACTCCCACGTTCAGTGGTGGATTGTGACTTGGGGCACATTCTACGTGAACAATTGAACAAGCTGAAGGATGGCTTCTTCACTTTGGCATACTTTGTAATAGAACCACAATTTACAAGGTTGATTCTTATCTCTACATTACAACCCAGTACAGACTGAAGCGAGCTTGCAATCAATTTCCATGACTTCTCTGCTTTAGCAACATAGTCAGGATGATGGAATTCCAATTCAGCTACAGCCAGACCTGAAATGTAAACCATATCTCAATCAAAGAATAGGTGGATATCGGATAACTCATTTCAGATAAACAAAATCCAAAAATAAAAATGATAAAAATGAAAGATCAGCCATCACTGTTGACACCTTATTTTGCTGCTACCCAATAGCGGAAATGTGCAAAAACCAAATCCAAAAGCCAAGGTACCACTATAATAATCCAACATTTCTACCAAAATAGGAAGGTTGGCAAAAGTTTATACTATACAAAGGCAGGGTTCCACTCTGGTCATGCTAAATTATTGTGATCAGAGAGAAATAGGATGGCCGCATCAGCACTTGCAACCAAAAGTAAACTACGCATGGTCAAAACAAATTTTATGACCAAATACTTATCAAGATGGATATAGGTTTAAGTATGTAGAAGTTTTTCCTGGACTCAACAAAAGATGTGACTAGGTCAGATGTACATTTTACGCCTTACTTAATGCAACCAAACTTCCTGTATAAACCCCCATGACTGCCATCTATAGGTACAACCAAACACACTTTTGGGTGCATCACCTAGTGTGAACAATTCAAAATAAACACCGAGTCAAGTGGTGGCAACTCCTGATCACTAGGTCCCAAAGCCTAAATTCTAACTATATATATCAAAATCGCATTAAGCCTCATTTTCTTTCCATGGTTTTCATAAAAACCTTTTAGGTAAAAATTAGAGTACTCAACTGCTCCTGAGATGAAATCAGCTTACATGGTCAAACCAATGTATACATTGTTAATGTAGTTGATTACTCGATACAGTGAAAACATGTAGCAGCAAATTAGCCAAACTGTTCATTCAGTTTCATGCCATCCAACAAGTCTATTCCAGCTTCCTTTAGTGTTGAAATGAATCACACTAATTTGTGTCTCCCCAAATATCCCATGAGTTATGCTTCCCATCAACTGTATGTATATATTGTCACAACAATCACGGACATCCTCTGAAAAGCATAAAAATCTACCAACTCTCCATAGTTTTGGATTAATTCTCTCTCTCTTTTGACTACCCTGTTCATATTAGAACATAATTTAGTATAGATGATTGTCTAGAAAAGTTTTGGAGATTTTCCAAATCTGTATCATGTTAAAGGTGGGTTGAGATCATAGTTGAACTCGGATTAGACTGGTCGAAGTTCAGGATGCAATATGTTGAATCCACCCATCACAAACCTTACCAAAGCAACCATTTTTTTTGTTTTGTTTTGTTGCTACAGTTGTTCAACCATTGAGAGGGATAGAGAATGAAAAGAACCAATCACAGCAGCAGCACGAGACAAGTAGCAAGGAGATTCTGAAGTGTTATGGAAATATATAAATCATTCTAAGAGCACTTTTACTGTTAGAATCAGGGAATAGATAATGCAGAGTGGCTGGATAAGACGGCATATAATTGGAATGCCTACATCCCATCTGAAGTAGGTTGTAGCACCAATACAAGACAAGCTAGAAAATTAATTGACATGGTCTGGTCAAACACAATCAAAGCCACTAATGCAGGTTGTAATGACTAAAGAGAACTATGTTTGCCATTTAAGAAGCAAGGCAACACAGGGAAAGCCAAAAGGCACTTGTCCTAGAGGTTGTATAGAACGTATGGTTACGGATCACCTAAACATCGACATCAAGAAAAGGGAGGCAATACAAAAGAAGTATCCAGGGAGGCAATACAAAAGAAGTATCCTATAAAATCCATACCTATATGGTTCTAACTGTATATATCTTGCCTTCGAATGAGATTTAGTCCATCTGGATGAAAAAGCCACTGCATATTAGATATGAGTCCGAATTTATCTGCCTTGACTCAATGTAATGACTTTTCACAATAATTTTAGATAAAAAACCAAGATCACAGTTTTTGTATCGCTTGTTGTTTGTCCTAAAGAGAGAATATAAATTAAAGTTCAATTCAATTACGAAAGCAAGCCTAGAGTCAATAGCGTGGACCTTTTTCTATTCTGTTCCATTTATTATATTTCAGATTGAACCACTGATAAGACACTTTCGGTTATGCATTATCATCCAATTCAGGGCGGCATGTTAGGACAATTGGAGTTGGAGTGAAGCAAATTTATTTGCGCCTTGCACTTACCATGGTTAAAATAAACAGAAGACAGCTTTCCCCATTTCCTGAGAAAGTTTTTGAGTGAATTTGATTGACATAATTCCATAGCTCTCTTCCAGATAGATTCCAGTGTTTCTTTACCATCCTGAATTCCTAATTTCAGTGATTCATTATTGCAACATGCACAAGTGACAAGATCCGCAGATGATGTGCAGCCAAAATCACCACCTGCATTCAAAAACAGAACCTGGACGTAAAAGTTGCACCTAACCTTTCTGGACCTAATCAACCAATTAAATCACGAATCTGAACATAATCAAGCAGTGAAACTAATGCATATTTTGAGCAAAAAAAAATCATACATAAATTTGAAGTAATCCAATCATCCTCACCTCTTGGGTGTACTGTTCTCACACTCAACCTCGAATCATCTGCATCCAAGGAACAAGATCCTGCAGAGCTTAACTGTAAAAGTGCTACAGTGAGCCATGTCGTTTGATTTTTTGATGTCCTCAATTGTTTCTCTGTTTCGGAGAGTATTTTGAGCGCATTACTAAGTAGCTGCAGATCTGCTTCAGCTACCAAATAAAAAATAAAATAAAATAAAATAAAATCAACACCTTAGACAATATCGCAATAAGAAAAGTAAACATACAGTACTGAAATGAGGAATGGACGTATTAAACAAAATGCTCCCACCACGTGATGCACTTCGTGAAATACTAAAAACTATTTATACACAAAGATACCCTACTTACAAGTGTGTCTTCCATAAAACTTTCTCCTGGCTTCAGAAGTAACTTCCTCACATTTTCCAGCAAGAATGTCCATTATGAGATTTGCTAGCTGAGATATTAATTGCATAGGATCAATCCTTGATCTCATCAACTCCCTTGCCCTTCTAACTGTATTTGATGTGTCAGATGACAAAGCCATATCCAGTAAATCTAGCAATTCATCATCAGAAACAACTCCAATCTGCAGAAATGCAATAGCAAAACTGAATTGAACATTTCAAACAAGATGAGATACAACACGAGGATAAGTGAGGAACAGTAAAACAACACTCACTAGTTCATATGCCAAAGCCATTGTTATTCTTTTGCCAAGCAAGCTCAGCTGTTCAAGCATCATCTCTGCATCCCGAAGTGAACCATTAGATTTAGTAGCAATGAACTCCAAAGCCATGTGGTCAAAGTCAAGTCCTTCTTTCACACAGATTTTCCCTAATCTGCTTGCAATATCAACTTCTTTTATCTTTGGAAAATGGTATCTTTGGGCCCGTGACACTGCATTTCTTGGTAGCTTATCAAGGTAGGGAGTGATCGCTACAAAGACAACGTGTCGAGGAAGGTCCCCTAGGTTATTCAAAAGAGTTGCCCATGTTTGTCCTCGTAACGAGTGGCATTCATCAATTATGAAAACCTTAAATCTTGAGGAAACTGGAGGGATGGCTGCATTCTTAATAAGAGATTTAACCCTATCAGTTCGATTGATTCTCACAGAATCCACTTCCTTGACATCTTTGTTTCTTCCAGAAAAAAACAAGAGACATTCTCGGCACATACCACATGGCCTATGCTCATCAAGTGTGAGACAATTCAAAGCGGCGGCAAAAATTCTTGAGGCAGAAGTCTTACCTGTTCCATGGGGACCATGAAAGAGATAAAAGGAAGTGATCCTCCCATTTGCCACGGCACTCAAAAGAGACCTTGCTACCACATTTTGTCCTACAAGCTCATTGAAAGATTTTGGTCTGAATTTCAGACTGAGACTTCTAGGACTTTCTGAATACTGGATGATTTCACTATTAATGTGTTTCCAGGTCTTTCCTTGTCCAGAATGATGTCTGCTGCCTCCTTCCCCTGATAACAGTGGCTGGTCTTCTACATCAGAAGGAAGATTTGATTCTCTAAATCTTGGGGTTCTTGACCAGCAACAGCTTATCCCACATCCACGATGATCGTGATCTACAAGATCAACATCTTCGTTTCCATATAAAGATGCGCTGCGACTTGACCCTCCCAATCGCCCATCACTCATGGACAAGCTTGGACTGCCTGTACGACTCACGACATCACCCGATGCCACTCTAGTTGATATAACTTGCTTTTTATATTGGTATTTCTGCTTTGTTGCATTAAGATCTATTCTCTCTGTCTGCAATGATCCTCCAACTGGTTCATTAGATGAACCCTCACCCTCCAAATGATCACTAGAAGGTGTGATGCATGTGAAGTCCAATCCCTTGTCCTTATAATCACTGCAATATCTTTTGCTTAATGATTTGTTTCCGCAACCCATTTCCTGATTTGATGATCTACAACCGGATCCTACAACATGTTTGGTCCTTAGGGAAACAGAACCTGTGTTTCCAACCCAACCTGAATTTTCATATGAAATAAACTTAGAGTTGGGTTTTCTCGAACCATAATACAACTCAAGATCACTAACATTTTCCTCCCTGTGTCCATATAAGCCTGGATTTTTTGATCCTGAGATAACATTATTATCCATGCCACCTTCTTCACAACCATTGACAAATCCTAGAGTAATCCCATTACTTGAATTTGTCTCCCAATTCAAATTATCAACCAAAGCAGAGAATTTGCTCAAAGAGTTAGTTGATGGATCCCTAAGTGACCTTACTCTCCTAAGTGCTAACAGAGTTTTCGAAATAGGGATATCAACGGAATGCCGCCTCTCATCCATCACTTTCAAAATTAAGGTTATATATATCAGAAAGTCAAAATTCAGGACCCAATAAAAAGTAACTGCATTTCCAACCTGAAAGTGCACAAACAAATAACAAAATCACCAAAAGAAGCACCCAAAAAGTCATTCCACTAAGTGCAAAAAGCAGAGTCTTGTAGCTTCTATTTCCTAAACAACCTAGTATTATAATTAGAAATTAACCCAATAATTCAATGATCACCCAATGAATCAAAAATGCTATTTTAGTTTACAAAAAAAAAAAAATTTAAAATATAATTTAAAATAAAAAGAAAACTGGTTTTAATGATTTCTCATCATAATAACTGAACATCTTAAAATGGAAAAGGGAGCAAAGGCACAAAATAAAAATAAAATATAATTAAAAAAAAAAAAATTAGAAAGAAACCCAATATTCAACAATAACTCAAATAAAGCAAAAATTAAGCAAGGATGCTAGTTTAATTCAACAATGAATTTTTTTGTTAAAATGCAAAAATAATAATAAGTTCTAAAAAAACAGATTTTACTGATTTCACATCACAAGGACAAAACCACCCCCAAAAGTGGAAAATGGAAAGCAAAACGACACAAGAAAAACAAACTATAACACAATGTATGCATATATAGTACCTTTTATTAGAGAACAACAATGTAGAAGCGGAAACTCACTTTCTTCAACCTATAAGAAGAATAAACAGAGTCATTTACCAGCAAAACACAAAATCAGCATCATCACAAACACAGAAAACAATTTCAGCCTCTTCTCATTTCTCAAAACATACCCTCACTAAGGAAAGCAAGTAGAGAGAGAAAGTATAGAGAGAGAGTAGACTCTCCAGAGAGAATCTTTCAATTCAAACTAATCAAATAAAAAAACATTTATAGACTATAGACACGAAGTAAAAAACAAAAATTACCAAAGGACAAATTTGAAAAACTCACACACACCTGTAGGTGTAGATTGATTGAAGAATCGGAGTTCATCGAAGTTGAGGAAGTTTGAAATGGGAGCGAAATAAACGGAGGGTAAAACCCTAACCCTAGAACAGTTGGTGAGGGTTGTTGAGCATTGAGTGTATAGATGTAGATGTATAGATATAGATATAGATAGAGATAGAGATATAGACATATAGTGGTGGCACAGATAGAGATAGAGAGACGAAGAGACTACACGAGAAGTGAGTGGCAGAGTGGTAAATGTAATAAATGAGTAGGGGTGATAAACACGCCATTGACAGCTCTGAAGATTCAAAGCCGACGTGTACAGGACGAAATGAAAATTGGTTTCAGAAATTCTTGTTCCTTCTGCACACATTTCTGCAGAGTTAGAGAGAGAAAGAGGAGGGGGACCTCGATGACTGAGCTCTGAGGGGGTGCTTTGGTCATTTCAGTTTTGACGGTTTCAGTTAGTTTGGTTTTTTGGCGAAAAGCTGTGGGTCTGGTCGGATGATATAGAGTTAGTTCACACTCCATCTAAGCGCGTGAAATACACTGTGGTAGTGTTTGTTTACATGGTTATAGTATCCCCAGATATCTTCTCCCTCTAAAAGGTGTTATTCTTCCGTTTCGTGTACGTGCTCCTACTTTAATTTGTATAACTTATATTTTGTTTTTTTTACACTCACTTGCACGACTTATGTTGTAAAAATACTACCCCATTGTGAGTCGGAGAATGTAGCACTACTCATAATTGAAATACTTTTTAATTATCCAAAAATCGCCTCATATCTTAAATAAGAATGTGCTATTCCAAATGCTAAAGGGATGAGCTAGTGTGGAATTAGGGGTTCCATTTCCTTCCCTAATTATTTAGAAAAAAACAACGGATTTTGTTTGGATTGTCAAGGGACTCCTTGTGACTTTTACGTGCATGTGACAATGATAATTTTGACATTTACTAATCTCATGTGAAATTCATGATGAGCAGTGTGATGATAATAGTTGTAGTTTTTTTTTTTTTTTTTTTTTTTTTTTTTAAAGTAAGAAATATTAAAAGTTAGATTAGTAAATGCAGAGAATCAAAATCTGGCACTCCCAAAATTCACCGGAGACACTACCCACTGAACTATCGAGGCATATGCATAGTTGTAGTTTTGTACTTCCCATTCGTCACATGAAATTGTTTTATTATTATTATTATTATTATTATATGTCTTTCAATTCTGGTTTCTTAAAAATATATTTGTAATTTAAGCGAAGACTAAAATCATAAAACTTCAACCACCTTTAATTTTTTATCATAAATTTTTTATCAGTATTACAAAGTTATCATATTGTCCTAATTCTTTCAGTTTGGGACGTTAAAGTGACGCGTACGGCTCACTTGTATTGGTAAAATATTTTTAGTGACAAAATTATCCTTGCAAAAACATATGCCAAACATGTGCTATTACACTTTGTTTGTTATTCCAAAAATGCCCCTAAACATGTTAAAAAATAGAATCCGCCCGTTTACTCATCCACAAAAAATGATTGAATTTTAATATTTAAATTAAAATTAGGTCCTCACTAGTGATGATCTATGTGGACCAATAATAAATTGACATGGATTTCTGATTTGGTAATCAAATCACTATTTTTGATTTGGTAAGTGAATATCTACCCACCATCTTTGATTTGGTAATTAAATATCACATGTCCATTTATTATTAGTTATAATAAATGGATACGTCCTATTTTAATTATTAAATTATAGATGGTAATCAAATCACTATCTCTGATTTGGTAAGTGAATATATACCCATCATTTTGATTTGGTAATTAAAGATCACATGTCCATTTATTATTGGTCCACATCAGCGGTGAAACCTAAGTATTGTCCTTAAAAGAATATTTTAAAAAATTATTTAAAAAATTTACCATCAAATTAAGCATTTCCTTTTTAAACATAGATGAGACCTTTTATTTTATTTATTTTTTAGAAATACAATAAATCTAACTTTGAAAATCTTCTTCCAATTGAGTTTTGAATTAATTGTTTTTATATAGTGGTTATCCAAAATCTATTAGTTTGTCATTTAAACATATTTGAAAAAAATTATTAGCTATCCTAATTGTTGTCAATTTTTATATTTAAATTGTATAATAATTAGTCAATTTTTTGAAGTATGAAAATGATTCAATTTTTAAAAAATATAAAATAAATAATGATATTTTAATGACTTATTTAGTTTTTTATTTACCAAATTGCGAATTCTACAAAATATTTATTTATTTAAATTAAATGAACTAAATTATAATTTAATACATAATGTAATATTCATAAATTGACTTGAACTAATTATAAAATTCAGGTTTGTGCCTTAGGGTAATTTTGTAATTTGCAAAATATCGATTTTTGCGTTTTAAAATAAATTGGTATATTATAAGGGTAATTTAGTTATTTAACAAGACATTGACCCCTAATTCATTAGCAGTATTGGAGTAATATGATAACTTTCTAATACTATTGGAATTTTTAAAAACACTTTAGAGTTTTATAATAAAATATTATAAGTAGTAGGAGGTTTTATGATTTTAATCCTTTAACCTATATGTATATATATATACCCATGGCCATGGATAACATGTAAGGCGATACCGTAACAAAAAGGAAAACGTATTATTATTATTTAATTTTAAAGCAATAGAAATTAAATGAGAAATACAATTTTTTATTATTCTACACATAAATTTAAATTGGTATACTAAAAATCATGTAAACCACCATCTATGCATATTAATTTCCCCGTAATTTGATCATGTGATAGGATTTTGATGAACTCTCAATCTACATTATAGTCATAATATATATATTTTTTAATCTAATTCTAATAAATTAACTAACTAACAAATAAAGCTTTGAAAAGGTTTCGCATATAAAGTGTATAATTTTCATACGTTTTAAAAGTTTCTAATATTTAATTTTGGAGCAAATAAACAACCTGAATGCTGAAAAAACTAAAGTGTACTAAATAAAAAATAGGTAAAAATTTAATTAAATGTAAAATATCTAAATTGTCCCTCTTTTCTTTTATATTTTTGGATTTCTTCTTCATTACCACTGCCTTCTATAATGAAACAGCAATGGTAACTTGATATGTCTGGCGTCGGTTCAATGTGTATAATATATACATACATAGCATTATCGGAAGAGATAAGGACGTTTTCAACATTTTATTTGTTTTTTTTTTTAAGCTTAACGGACTTATATAATTTTTTCAAACTTAACAAACTTATACATGCAATACAAAGAATAGGGATGTTATTTTTTGCCCAAAATGTAAATATTAAGAGTATTTTTCTCATTTTACCCTTTTTTTTTTATTTATATATTCCCTCCGTCTCAATTTAAGTATCGCTCATAGGGAATAATAATTTTTAAAGAGACATGTGGGATCGGCATTATTTCCCTAAAAAGTTATTAAATTATCTTTTTAAATTTTGAATATTCAAATTTAAAATTTTAAATTATGACATTTATTTTAAATCAGATTTGTCTTGTTTTAGTTTATATAATTTTTAAAAGGATTCCTCAATCCTCACCCTTGAAATGAAAGGGAAATACGTAGTATCATTTTGTTCTACTTCTCCCCGACCACAAGAAAAGTACCTGCAATGCAGGGAGCCGGAAAGATGATTACATTAACCAAAGTTACCAAACCAACCCCACCACAAGCGACGACAATAGTACTCTGCATTGACTATTGTGTAATCTACTAATTACTAGTAGCAGTAAGTACAGAAACATGTTGTCTTATGGTGTGAGTTTGTGCCTCACGCTTCGAGGGGCGCGTGAATATGAAGTAATGTTTCGGACGAATTGTTGCGGGAAGGGAGTGCACGTGACGTGGACGGTGCGGGGTCCACCTAGTAAATTTTTTCGAAGTGATGCTTACTACGCACCCCGTTTACGTTATACAGTACTACTCGGAAATAAGGATGTACACTGTACAGTGATTGCATCATCATTGATGCGTTGTCATAATATGTATGTTGCCACAATGGTGTTCTGATAATGTGTACAGTACGACGCCGCTTCGTGTCTGACACAAGTAGATTGCAGAAATGTTTGCAGATATATTGCGAATTTAAAAAGCTTACAACCTAACGTTAGTTATTATTATTATTATTCCAATAAGCTATAATAATAATTATTAATTCGGCTCAATTATCACGTAAATAATTATACTTGAAATATTTAAATCCTTTCATCTAGCAAAATAAATTATTATTATTATTATTCCAATAAGCTATAATAATAGAATCTTTAATTCTTTATCATCAGTAATTTTGGTATTAATTAAAAATACTCTCTAATGGCCTTCACTTAACAGAAGGCCAACGACTGGACTAACCTATAGTTTTGACCAAATTTTCCAAAAAGGCTAATATTGTCTTTGACCAAAGTTTAATGAGAAGGTACAAATCTTGTCTTTGAAGGAGAGTGACTCTCTCTTATCTTTTATTTATTTTTCAAATACTCTCCCATCTTCAAAAACATGGTACAAGGTATTTATATTTATAATTTAAAAAATAATTTCGCTTTTTGGGAACCGTTGTGAGCCACGTCCCCAAAAAGAGACATTTTTTTTTAGATGAAGATAATATATATATATATATATATATATAAACCGGAAGACAAACTCTCACAATAAATTTAAACTCTTCATAAAATTTTAATTTATCATTTGAAGAAATAGGGTTATTTATCTTAATTAGGGTACACATGGATCCAATTCAAAATTATGATCCAAATCATATGAATTGGTTTGATTTTGAAAGAATATCGATTCAATTATTGACCGTATTCAATTTTGTACCGTTTGAATTGGTTCGGTTCGATTTTAATTTTTATAAAATTATCGTGATTGGATTGGTTCTAGATTTCTAATTTTATAAATTAAATGAACCAATTCCGTTGGTATGCACCCCCTAATATTGATAATGGTTCCAATCTGAACTTTAAGTTAACATGTTTGAATTATAATTTTGAATTCAAATAAAAAGGATTATCTCAATCATAGTGGAATTTTGAATTAGAATAAAAAAAGATCAAATATGGTTTATATATATATATATATATATATATATATATATAAGATTAGTCTGAATTGAGATGGATTTATTATGAAGCCCTATCTAATGTGCGTGTGTGTGTATATATATAGAATTATGATGGATTAGATCGAAACATATTCTAAAAATTTGATTTAGATTCACATACGAACGTGACATTAATATATGGGTTTGAATTTAGATTTAAGTAGAATATATTCTTTGTTTTATATTATATATATTTTTATTATTTGTTTTAATAAGAAG